GGGCTCTTCGTTCACGGCTGATCTTGCCGTACATTCCGTCACGAAGTCCGCTAGGGCTTGTCCCTTGATGGCGGGTCTAGGACGGATGTCGATGTTGTATTGGCTCAAGAAGACAGCCCATTTTACCATTCGGGAGGAGCTAGTGGGGCTCCTCATCAAGGCGCCGAGGGGTTGGTGAGTGAGGACCTGGACCGGGTGAGCTCGGAAGTAGTGGCCCAACTTCTTGACGGTCCATACGATAGCCAATACCGTTTTTTCCACGGGGGAGTACCGGAGTTCCGCCTCCCTGAGGGTCTTGCTAACATAGAAGATGGCATGCTGGATGCCATCCTCTTCCCGGATGAGTACTGAGCTGATGGCAGCCGGGCTAACACCCAAGTAGAGGTACAGGATCTCCCCTACCTTGGGTTTAGAGAGCACAGGGGGTGAAGATAAGTACCGTTTCAGCTCCTCGAATGCCCCCTGACATTCTGAAGTCCAGTGCAAACCGGCGGTTTTCCTCATGATCTGGAAGAAGGGTAAGGACTTCTCCGCCGATTTTGATAAGAAGCGATTGAGGGCTGCCAGGCGGCCCGTCAACCGTTGGACCTCTTTCACGTTGCGTGGGGCTCCATGTTGATGATGGCCTGGATCTTCTCGGGATTGGCCTCGATACCCCTTCGGCTAACCATGTAGCCCAAGAATTTGCCCCCCTGAACGCCGAAGGTACACTTCTTTGGGTTCAGCCGAAGGCTAAACTTCTGCATGATGGCAAAGATCTCCCTCAGGTCATCAGCATGGCTTGCTGATTGCTTGCTCTTGACGATCATGTCGTCAACATACGCCTCCATGGTGCGCCCTAGGACAGCCTGGAATACCCTGGCCACCATCCGAGTGTAGGTGGCACCTGAGTTCTTTAGGCTGAAGGCCATGACAAGGTAGAAGAAGATGCCTTCGGGGGTCATGAAGGCTGTTTTTTCAGAGTCTTCCTCATGCATGTATATTTGATGATATCCGCGGAATGCGTCGAGGAATGACATGATCTCACACCCCGCAGTTTCATCTACAAGTTGATCGATATTCGGCAAAGGAAAGGGGTCCATGGGACACGCCTTGTTGAGATCCGTGTAGTCCACGCACATGTGGAATGAGGGCGGTTTCTGTGCGAGGACTACGTTCGCTAGCCATGAGGGGTATTTTACCTCCTTGATGTGCCTGATAGAGAGGAGCATGGCGACCTCTTTCTTCACAAATTCCCTCCTTTCGGCCGAGCGGGATCTCCCTCGCTGCTGTACTGGTTTGGCCGAAGGGTCCACCGAGAGGCGGTGGGTGATGACCCATCGGCTGATCCCCGGCATGTCCTCCGGCCCCCATGCAAAAACAATGGAGTAGGCGTGGAGGGCGCTGATGATGCCGGTCTTCAAATCTTCGGGGAGCTTGGCTCCAATCTTCACGACTCTCTCCGGCTTGGCCGGATCGAGCGCGAAGTCTTCTACCTCCTCGGCTGGTTCAGCTCTCGGCCTCATTTCCTCCGCTTCCACAGTTCCGGTGATGGTGTCAACGCGGAACTCCGTCTTGCTAACCTTCTTTGTCACTTGAAGGTAACAAGCGCGGGCAAGTTTTTGGTTCCCCCTTGAGTAACCGATTCCCCCCTCGGCTGGGAACTTGAGACAGAGGTGCCTCATGGAGATGACGGCTTCGAGATCCTCGAGGGCTAGCCGGCCGAGGATGATGTTGTGGGCGCAGTCGATGTTGACGACGACGAACTCCACTTCGAGCTTGGCCCTATGGAGCCCGTCGCCGAATAGTACCGGGAGGGTTATAACCCCCTCGGAATCAATGGTGTCGCCGGTGAAACCGACAAGAGGGGTATTGATGGGCCGAAGGGACCCCCTCTCCAGATGCAACTCTCTGAAGGTGCTGAGGTACATTACATTGACGGAGCTGCCCGTGTCAATGTAAGTTCTGTGAATAATAGTGTCGTTGATCTCCGTGCGGATGACGAGGGCATCCCTGTGTGGGGAGGACACTGGGGGGAGGTCAGCATTAGTGAAGATGATGGGTTCCTCCCTCAGCCGCTTTACTGGGAGCATATGAGTGACTTCCCACACGTAAAGTGATTGAGCACACTTCTTTCATTGACTCGTAGAATCACCCCCGGTATTTCCCCCGTGATCATGAGGATGTGGCGTTTCTTTTCTTGGTACCGGGGGTACTCCTCCTCCTCCTCCTCCTCCATATTTCCAATCTCCCTCTTCTTGCCGAGGGGAATGGTGTTGGGGTTGACCCATGCATTTGCTCTCGCAGTTTGCCCTCGGGGTGGTCCCTGATGAGGGGGGCCTTGTTGCTGAGGGCCCTGGATAAACTGGGACAGATGGCCCGCTTGTATCAATCTTTCGATGGCCGTCTTCAGCTAATGGCAGTCATCGGTCCGATGCCCCTGGTGTCGGTGGAAGCGACAGTAGGGGTAGTTCGGATTGATGGTAAATACCTCCGGGGGTGCACGTGAATCTCGCTCCACCAGGCCCCTCTCCTCAGCAAAATCAAGAATAACGCTGACGAGGTGCGTCAATGGTGTCCGAGGGTGTTCTAGGAGGACAGGCTGTGCCCAAGCCCTCGGGTTCCCCTTGTAGCCTCCCCCGGGCTTGGCTTGGCCATGCTGGGGACGATCACCGGAGGGGGCAGATTCCTTGGGGTGATTGCGGGGAGCCCCCGGCCCCCGGTTACCTCTGTCGTCTGGCCGAGGGCGCTGCTGGTCCGGTACGTGGTGGCATTTCTCCACCTCCTCGGCTTCGACGTATCGGTCCCCCCGCTGTAGGGCCCTTATATAATCGCGGGGAGGCTCGATTATGAGGCTCCTCGAGAAATTCCCGGGGCAGAGTACCGTTTGGAGGAGGGCCAGGAGGGTCCCGTCGTCAGCACCATCAACTTTATCAGCCTCCGTTCTCCAGCGCTCCAGGAAGTCTCGAAGGGTCTCCTCCTTCCTCTGCCTCACCGTTAGCAAGTGGGAGAAGTGTTTTCTTGTGCGGCGCCTTCCCGCAAATTGCGTCAAGAATCACTGGGCGAGTTCTTGCCACGAGTCAATGCAGCCCTCGGGCAATCGATTGAACCATTCGTAAGCCGGCCCTCTAAGGTGGAGAGGAACCAGTGGCACAAGTATTCATCCGATGCCCCCACCATCATCATGCTGTTTTGATACCTGCTGTAATGCTCTTGGGGGTCAGTCTTTCCGTCATAGGGCTTGATGAGCTGCCCTCGGTATTTTTCCGGGATCCGGGCCGCCAATACCCTTGGGGTAAATGGTGTCCGGGTCCGGAGCTATATGGTGGGTTCCCCGGAGCCCTCGGCTATCTTCTTCTGCATTTCTTCCATCTTGGCCATCATCGCCTCATACTTGAGGTCTGTATGAGGGGCAGAAGTGGTGGCGTGGGCTTTGGTGGCCTCCACCTCATCAAGCCGGCGCTGGAGGGCCGCAATGAGTTCGTCCCGAGGGTCCTTCGGGAGGGCCTCCGCCCACTGCGAAAGGACCCGGGCCGAGTGGGCCTGGTTGATTTGGTGGCGGGCGTCGTTGGCATGGAGAGGTGCCTTGCCTTTGTCCTGAGGGGGACGCCTTTCATTGGCCCTGGAGACGGACCCGCCACTTTCCTGAGGCCTCTGGAACGCTTTCCCCCCGAGGCGGTCTTGGACCCCTCGGCGGTCTTGCGCCCCTCCGAGTCTCTCGAGGGCGGAGGTCCGGAGTTGTTCCTTGTTTATGTTGTGGCGGTCCCGGGACTGAACTTCCTGGGAGACCGTATCTTGGGCCACGACCCCCTCGGAGTTCCCCATCCGGAGGACCGGGTTACCGAGGGGTCGTGGATGAGGGGGAGGCATAATATTCTCCCCCACCTGAGGTTGGAGGGGAACCAAAGTGCCGAAGGCACCCGGGTTCTGGGTGAGCGTATGGATGAAGGCGGAGAGCGCCGATTGCACGTCGATTGTGATGACTAGAGGGCTAATTTGATTCTCGCTCCGGTCCTTCTTCTTGGCCTCGATGCCGAGGCGGGCATCGGGGGCATTTTGTTGAATCTGCTGGCGTAGGTCGACAGCCGTCTGGTCCAACCCGGCGATGACGCCGCCCCCGGGAGCCCTGTTGGAGGCTTCGGGGACGTCGACCTCGCCGAGGGCCATGCTCCTGTCCTCTACATTCTTGGAGTCGGCACGAGTTGTTCTCACCATTTTAGCTAGGTGTTTTGTGTTTGGTCGAGGGGGAGGGCTTCTTACTTGATTGTTCGAGCTCTCAACGAGAGCACCAAATGATGGATAGTGTACCCGGGGGGTAGCTTATCCGAGGGGTATTACGGGAAATAACTAGAGAGAAGTCAGAGCAAATCAGTATAGAGAGAGGAAGTATATTAGAAAGTGTTCAGTGTTTTTTGCGTGGTCTACAACGGGGAAATGGGGTGCTATTTATAGTAGCAATAAATGCCGGACAGGGACATGTGTCAAGCGTCCATTGACCGAGAGGTCACCTCAACTGGTTGGCGCTGGCAACCGCATGTGGTCGTATTTAATGCGGCTGTTGGATGGGACGTTGTACTGGGTACGGTGATCCCTACACATGTGGAGCGGATATTATGTCGGAAAAGGCGCCCTCGGCAGTAGATGACTAGCCGAGGGCTCTGAGTACCGGGGACCCCCTTAGTGCCGAGGGCTCCAGTTGCCGAGGGCTACTGATTTTCGCCGTCCTTCTCAGCAACTTTTTTTTCCTGCTTTGACCTTCCTGTGAGAATCAGAGCCTTCGGCCAGTTGTCCGAAGGCTCCCCCTGGTGCGCTTTGTGGGCTGCTTGGTGCCTTGGGCGCCGTGATTTGGGCCTGTTGTGCTTCCTGGGGGTTATTGAGCCTTTATTGGAGTAGTGAGAGTCTGTGGGCCGGGAATTCCCGGGCCATATACTCCATCAGAACTTTTGAGTGAGACGTCAAAAAATGAAAAACGTAAACCTTTTAAATAGGACAGATGGAGTAATAAAAAAAAATGTAAAGTACAAAATTTACTAAGTAATCGAAAAGCCCAAGTTCGACTAACCCAGTGAGACGCACGAACATAGAAAGCCCAAATATTCTCTGCTAATTGCTCTAGTTGATCGCTAGGGTATCGAAGAAGCCGCAGAGAAGAGAGTGTCCAGTCGTCCACAGCGCCAGCGGAGCTTTGAACAATGGTTCTCAAGTATGATTCTATCTTTGAGTAGCATATTATAAGAAGCATCTTAAATGAAATCATTTTCCTCCATCGTTCCCTCACAAACATGGAATGCAAATCTCTGCTTCATCTCTACATTTACAAGATATGAAGCTGTTGACTTGTTTAGTGCTAGTTTTACCATTGCTGAGGAGGGTTTCAATTCTAACAGAATTTCTGCTGTAAAATGCCATCTATGACAATGCCTGATTCTGCTACATTGAACAACTTTAGGCTTAGCTAAGATTAAGGATATTATAATACTAGGAAACCCCTATTTGTTTGTGGTCAGTTCTGCTTCTCAAGATCATAACTTCCTAATTTTGCAGAGGCAGAAGTTTACTTGATGTTTAATTAAGCAATATTTGGAACTTGGGAAATGCAGGAAAGCGTATTTTTTTATATATTTGGTTTTATTTTAGATTTTTTAATTTTGTTTTACCTTGAAAAGTATGAAGGCAAATCTGACGTTTTTTTTTGAAATTTTACTTATTTTCATATTCCTAATCAGTTAGTCTTCATATATTAGAAATGTATAAGTAAAGTGAGTTGAACAAGTGTTTATTGCAGTGACTTAAGTACATTGGATGATTCAAAAGAAAATAATGACAACCTAGGTTAGTAATCGTTCTATCTTTATTAATTGTTGTAAAGAAAAAGAAATGCATTTTATAATCCTTTGAATGACATTTCATATGTTTTCTTCTAAGTGGTTCTGTCATCTTAAAGTTATGTTTCGAAATTACAATTTTCTTCATTTTTTACATGTCTTCTTGTTTGCACCATAACACTTGATGCTTATCTAAGAGCATCTCCAATGCTACAATGTGCACTGTGCACATGTGGCATGAGAGAGATAGACACAAAATATTGATTTTATAACATTTCTCTCTCATTCTTTCCACGGTCTTATGTGTTTTTGGTAAGTTTTTGTCTGCAATGCCAACCACAATGTCTACATCTATACATTGTGCTTGACATTGTGAAGAAAAACTTACCAAAATGATGTAAGATCCTTCAAATAAGGAGAGAGATATTCTATTTATTTTTTTTAAATTGGTTATTTCTCATGCCACATATGCACCGTTAACGTTTTATCATTGGAGATGCTCTAATGAAATGTTTATTAGTGATTGTTCTTCTCTTAATGGTGGTCTATGGTATGCTATATTAGGACTGAGCTTTGCCGCTTTAGTGGTGCCAAGATCTTTCCTGGGAAGGGGATCAGATTTGTTCGGTCTGATTCTCAGGTAACAGCTTAAACTACTTGCTTCTCATTATTGAAATTTTCAACAAGACGTTATTAGTTGTTGGGGCGGTGCTATGAAACTGTCAATTAAGTAATTAACTCTTTTCTGGATGCTTCTGTAGGTTTTTCTTTTTTCCAACTCAAAATGCAAAAGATACTTCCACAACCGCTTGAAGCCATCAAAACTTACATGGACAGCAGTGTACCGCAAACAACATAAGAAGGTGATCAAATCTGTCACTGCTATTGGTTCTGTATCGAACAATTAATTAATGTATGTCCTTACCAAGTTCCAATTTCTGAAGGGTAAAAGTTGGCTGCATAGGTTTATGCTGAAAGTGCTGAATTTGCTGCAATGTATGAATTTGGTGAATGTGTTGAATTACATTAAACTTGTTCACTTTTTTAGAGCAAAGTTTACCAAATAACATTAAAAAAATAACTGTGAAAGTATCATTCACTATTTCACTCTCAATCAAGCTGTTCAGCCAAAAAATAACATCTTCATCACTTCACTCAATGTCTAGTTAAGCCAACACATCTAATTTAGTTTTTGTTTGAACTATATCCGGCTGATAAGCAGGAAAGTTAAGCTACCAAAAAATGCATTGAATTGATGGTTTTCATACCTCACAGGATATTGCAGCAGAAGCTGTGAAAAAGAGGCGCCGAGCTGCTAAGAAGCCATATTCAAGGTCTATAGTTGGTGCCACATTGGAAGTCATTCAGAAGAAAAGAGCAGAGAAGCCAGAAGTTCGTGATGCTGCTCGTGAAGCTGCCTTACGGTATGCATGCTAAACAATATATTCACTTTTCTGTTTCCTACTCTCAATGATTTGCCATGACCAACACGTAGAATTTGCCTATTGTTGTTTCAATTTGTCTCAGTGAAATTAAGGAGAGAATCAAGAAAACGAAGGATGAAAAGAAGGCAAAGAAAGCAGAAGTAATGGCAAAAGTAAAAACTGCGAAGGGTAACATGCCCAAAGGTCCCACAAAAGGTCCCAAGCTTGGTGGAGGTGGTGGGAAGAGATAATTTTTGTGTATTTGACCCTCAACTAAACATACCTTATTTCCTTGGATTCTGAACATTGCAGGCAACAATACCTTATTTTCTTGGGAAATACTGAAATAGTACTACCTACATGGAGTTCAATTGAAACTGATCTGTTGGAGTTGTAATACTCTGTTTGGTGAAGATAGGGTTTGGCTTTACATATCAGTTTCAAAAATGTTAAAAATGCGTTTTTGGAATTTGTGCAATGATCTCATTGGAACTGGAAGCCTTTTTATCTTTTGAGACCCCCCCCCCACAAAAAAACAACATTAAATTTACCCATTTTCACACATGTTTATAAAATAAAAGCATTACCAAATGATATTATATGTAGGGATGGACTCGGGCTGAGTAAACCGGCCCTTAATTGGCGTGGCCTGGCACGTTACTGTTTCGGCCTGGCCTGGTACCTGGGTCATAATCTGGTTCGGGCCACCTGGCCCGGTATTGTTACGGGGTGGTTCCCGGGCCTCCCAAACCATGAACCGGCCTGGCCGGTTTGGGCCCGGTTCGGGCCATTTTTTTTGTTTTTCAAAATTTAAAAAATGTAAATGGGCTGGGTGTTTTGGATGGGTTTGGGGGTGGGGTGGGGGGTAGGAACTAGGAAGTAATTAGAAAATCAAAAAAAAAAATATAGGTAGCTGGCCCGAATCGGACCCGGTAGCTACCCGCCTACCCGGGATGGTTCCGGGCCTCAAGAATCCAGAAAAAAGCCCGGTAAGGCTCAGACCAGTCCGGGTCCATGCCTAATTATACGTGGTATTTATATATTAGTCATGCATTTTAACAGTTGTAACATAATTTACAATGTAATGTCACTTTACATCTAATTAAATCCATTACGGAGTATAGGCTGTATAGCAACGGACACAACATATTGTATATTTGTATTTTTTCAAGCGTAGTTACACAATTTAATTTACAATTTTGTCATCATTTAACCCGGATTTCTCCAATTTGAGTCTAACCTGAGGTTCAACAAGGTCTTGCGAGATCTTCTAGATTTAGAGAGGTTCAACAATGTTTCACATGATCCGACAAGCTCGGGTGATATTATCATACTAGTAAGTCTTACAAAGTTCACCCCAATCTCGAGTAATAAATACAAAGTTTTTGTAGTAATTCTTATTTGATGTTAAAATTGAAAAGTAAATCCTTGCCAATTTGCCATTGGGTAAAAACTAAATTGGATGAGTCGGTCTTGAAATTAACAGAATTTTGGCTGAAGTGGGGAAAACCATGTCTTATATTTATATTTATTTTGTTAAAGAAATATGAAAATTTTATATGATCATAATTAAAATGGTTGTTTACAGTAACTGTAACCAATTCAATTAGAAAAACTCTTTTCTACTATACAATCAGCAGACTCAAAAGGCTTCAATAAAATTCAGCAGATAAGTTGAAATTAGAATATTAGATGTTACTAAACCAGCTCTTAGATACAAAGTGTGAAATGAAGCTTGTAAAACACAAACTAGTTCTGAATAAGTTTTTTCTCTTTTCTACTATACAATAATTATACGGAGTATGATTTTATTATGCAGAGCTTGGAAAATAATAACCATAAACTTGTAATATAAATCTTGGTAAAATTCATGATGTTTGAGCCTTAAATCTGTGGTAGTACAAAATTTCTAAGAAGCTCAGCTCAATCTGCATTCATTTTGTTGTAATATGGCCAAGACAAAATTTGTTTTAAGACCCAGAGTGTGAAAAAAGGAATCGATGTTAAATTATCAAAATAAGAGAGAAAATTGAGAGTAGAAACACAAGCCTATTTTAGACATATATGAAGGAGACTCGTGGCCAAACCAGCGGCGGATCCAAAAATAAAATTTATTGGGGGCATATCAATGAACATAAGTTAATAAAAGTATATACGCCATATTGCATACATGGTTGTAAGTAGACATCTCAAATATAGGACAACCCGCATAAGCAACAAAATCATTGTTAGTATAAATTTTGTGTAAAAAAACTCTACGATATAATCATGGTTCTAAAATTTGCTAGGCGCTACTCAAGTGGTTGAAGGATGCCTAGGCGGCTGATTAGGTCATTTTTTGGCCGACTAGGCCGATTTTTTGGCCGACTAGGCTGATTAGTCCTCTTCAGTTATGGCTGACTAGACCGATTAATCGGTTCGACTAGGCCTATTTTTAGAACAATGAATATGATTGATTAATGTGTTTGCCACACTCAATAAAATTAAGATATTAGAACTTTAGCTACATCGCTGACTCATACTCTAATTTATCTAATTTAAGGCCGATTATGTGATAAATACAAATTATGTGCTTAAGCGCGCGCACACACCACACACACACACATATACTCCCTTCGTCAAAATAAATTCTTCTCACTTACCATTCGCATTTCCCTTTATGGAAAGGTTTGTATGGTTGACAATAACGTATAAATTCATTTACTTTTTTCTTACTCAATAACAACCATACATTTTGCACTTTATTCAAATATTCTTAATCAGCGTGCCAAATCAAACCCTCTTAATATTACAGAGTATATTTCGAGTATACTTGATTAAATTATTTGTATTTCACAAATGTATAATTAAATTCAGAATGAAAATGAGAACATTATTAATTTATTTATCAATAAATTTTATGGGATGAAAAATACTTCATTTGGTAAACTAAGTACTCCCTCCGTATCTAATTTGTTGTCCCATTTTCCTTTTTGGGTGCATCAAATTAATTGTCTCATTTCCTTATTTGAAAAGAAATACACTCAAATGATAAATATTTCATGTGGACCAACAAATTTCAGTCCAATTAAGACCTCCTAATTTGTTGTTTTAAAAATGGATCAAAACTATAATAATCAAAACTTTGGGTCACATTTGAAAGAAAAAGAAATTACAAAAAGAGAATGATGTTACAAATGGCGTACGCCATATATAGCGTAAAGCCTTCCCCCTCCCCCATTTTGGTGTAATGGTGTAAAGTTTAGTGTCATTGTTGGGGCATTTTTTTCAAATACACCATTTTGGTGTTGAAGATGGTGCTTGTTGGAGATGGTGCTTGTTAGAATAGATAACACCAAACCCTAAAACTCACATGAAGGCTAAAAGAATTGGTAAACCTTAACTTTAGGGGCCTGTTTGGTTTGGAGTAATCTCACATGAAGAGCAGAATGCGATGTAAAGAATGTTAGATGTCAATGTTTGATTCGTGCGATTATAGAAAAAATCAAGAAAATTACATTCCCGTAGATGTAATATGGAGTGGATGTTAGACCTGTGTATATCTTAAGTTATCTGACATTAAATTTTGAAATTCACTTATAAAAAACTTTGGGAATGACCTATTTTTCTTCTAAAATACCCTCATTTAGTTATCTCTTTTCATTTAGTTTATTTTCCACTCTTCCATCTTCAGTTGAGGGCTATATTTTTTCACCATATTTTATTTTCATCTTATGACAAGACTTTTAGTACTACATCTGTCTCACTTAAAAGTTCCCGTACACTATTTTTCAATTAATGTAAACGTTTTTTAATCTTTTAATTTATATATCCAACTCTTTTATCAAAATTTGATTATTTGCGACTTTATAAAAATTTTAATGTAATTTATAAATATGTAAATTTTATATATTAAAAATAATCTTATTATTGACAAGGATTAGTCAATTTAATAGACAATCAATTATCTTAAATAGTTTGACAACCTTTTAAGTGGGAAAGATGAAGTATGTTTATTTAATTATATTCACATGTCTATTATTGTTATTTGCATAATTCTTTTTTCTGAACATTTAAATTTTTTAAAGTATTTATCTTATAGATTATTTAACTTTTTGATGAGTGGATTTTAAAACTTAATGGCAAAATTGATCATTTTTTATTTAATTTTAAAATAAGTTTTACATTTATGTATTGGATCTACAACTTTTTACGATTACATACCTTATTTTTATGGTGCTTTACTCTAATTTGAGGCAATTTTTGTACTTTTGTTTTTGCTCCTTTGAGTTGATTTCCTTATAACCAAATGTATGGCAGATTTTAAGTCCATGAAAGTCGGTGATTCCGACCACACATCGAATTGAGTTGTGTTGTGGCCTTGTGGGTACTATATCTTTCTGTCTGTAGGGTCGTGAGAGTGTTACACGGTTGGGGAGATGGATAAGTAAGTTCACTTGATACTTGATCCAAAAGGTGGAATCTCGCATCCCAGGAGCCCCCATACCTCGGCTCGACAGGATTTTTGAGAGGATTACGGTAACTCAATCTAGGGTTGGACTCGGATCCGGGCCGGGTCCGGGTCGGGCCTAGGCCCGGACGGGCCGGCTGGTCAGAAATGGTGGACCCGGGACCGGCCCGGGTAACCACCGGGTCCGGTCCGGGTCCGGGCCGGGTCGGGCCCATTATATTTTTTTTTTTTGGTTTTCCTCTTCCTAATTAACCCCCCTCCCACCCCCAACCCCCCAAACCACCCCAAATGGCCCAAAATACCCAGCCCAATCCGAAAAGTTAAAAATAATTGAAAAAACAAAAAAAAAAAATTGGCCCGAACCGGGCCCGGGCCCGGCCGGGTCGGGCCTTGTTTTGGGTGACCCGAGCCCGGACCGGAAAACCCACGGGCCGGGCCTACCCGGACCGGTCACTGACCGGGCCACCGGGTCGGGCCGGGCCGGAACAGTGCCGGTCCCGGGCCGGTCCCGGGTCAGGCCACCCGGCCCGAGTCCATCAATAACTCAGTCAGCCCAATAAATAAATATTCACTTTTTTTTGTAAAACTTTAACAAGAAATGGACGTGAGTACGGCTGTGGCGGAAGGTTGTCCACAATAAATATTCTGCTATTTGTACCATTAATTCTTGCACATTTCTGGGTCCTTGTCCACAATAAATTTTATGACAAAGAAGTTAGCAAAAAGTGAATAAAAAGGTAAAAGAGCTGGATTTTGCATATAAACATTTCAGTGAACCAAGTAGAGATTCTAGACTTTCAAGTTACAATTATCAAGCGTAGAGTAGCTTTTTACTGATTCCAAACAATTAATTAAGATGGACCCTTCATAACTACACAGATAAGTTAGCATTGGTAACCCGTTCAAAACAGCCTAATATCTATGCCAAACGCCACCGTCGCTGAGCCCAACTCTATCTCTAACAACTGGCATTCCGAGGCTGTCCAGCCGGCCTGAGCCCGGATACGCCTGGCCCCGTTGTGAGCTTGTTCTAAGCTCGCCACCGCCACCATACCCGTGGATAGAGTAACGCTTCGTCGAGCTAGACCGCTCGAACTGGTG